CGATCGCTTTACTTGGATCACCAGACACTGCTCTCTTCTGGAGGGCCTTGCTGACCCATCGAACTCACAGACCTCTCCTAGTCGAGGCAGGTGAACAGGACCCACCCCAGGGCCCGACAGCAGCCCTCACACCACGACTCTCCCACTCCGAGGGCGGGTGCTCAGCCCATGAGGCACATCCAGGCCCCCGGCCCTCGCTCTGACTCCGGGTGTGCGAAAAGGCAGCTGGGACGCGGGGGCGGTGGGGGGACTCGTCTCAGAGGAGCTCTGGGAAGGCCAGGCGCGGCTCTGGGGCTCCCACGGAGTCCTACTGGATACCGGGGGCGACAGCACCTGCAGCCCTCCTGCCACATCCTCTTTGTATCTATGGCGACATACCTGTGTCTGTGAACCTGTCTTCTGTGGAGCTCCGCCCCCCAGGTGAACACAACCCCGCCCCTCGGCGCAGAGCCCCCGTGCCGGGGGGCCAGCCCGTTCCTCAGGTGTCACTCCAAAGACGACGACAACAGCGACAGAACGCTAACAATATGCCCTAAACTCGAGGCTTCCAACCTGCCGTCAGCGGACTCTGGTTGCCGGGAAACCCAGGGAAACCCCCCAAAATGGCATAAACTACACAAACCTGCACATTTTCCAGGGGAGTGATTTCGCTCTCTTCAGATTCTCGAAAGGGTTTGTGACCTTGTAAAAACTCCAGGGCCCTTGTCCTGCTTATTTGAATGGATACTGCCCAGGCCAAAGAGAACAAGCAAGTTTAAGAGATAAGAGCTCCTCCAGAGCTCTCGACTCCACCGGGCACTCAAGCACCTTGAGATGGCCGTGTAAAAAAGTCCTGCCTGCCACCACTCGTAGTTGAAGGACGAGCAAGCTAGCATTCTCAGGAATTCAAGTGAACATCCCGCCCAGGCAGCAGTTAGAGGTTAGTGGGTCAGTAGCAAAGACGAGTAGGTTACCTCCCGGGAACCACGGCCTCCGTGGTGGCGGCGCCCGGTGAACCGACCCCTCGGCTCGCGCCGCGTGCCGGGCACTGACACGCATGACTGGTTGGTTCGGGCATCCTCACGACACTGCGAGACGCTGTCCCGTTTTTCGATGTGAGGAAGCCAGGACTCAGAACGGTGCGGTGGATGCCGAAGACCCCGGCGCCGGTGATGAGCGTCAGAGACGGGGTCTGACTCCAGCTCCGCCCGGCCCCCGGGTTCTACATCGGGAGACGCTCTGAAGCTTGGACCCCCACAGGGGAAAACTCATCTTCAAGTCAGGGACCGACTCTTAGACACCTGCGTGCCCCCCACGGTGCTCTGCACGGTGAGCCCCCCCTCCCCCCAGATATTTGCTGAGTGAAGAAACCCGGGCCCGGGCTGCCAGGGACCCACGGACGCGGCCTCCCGCGGGCTGGCGCTGCAGGTGGCTGCTCGGCTGGGCACGTTCAGGGAACATTCGAAACCAATTACGGGTGAGGAGAAACCTATTAATAGGTTTTGTTTTTCTGTGTATGCTGGGGGTGAAGGAGAGGAAAGGACGCTGAGAAGGAGGGAGAGGCGCAGGACGGTTTCAGGGGTGGGTGCTGGGGCTCTCACACTGGGATGGCACGGAATTTGGCTTCCGTCCGCTGCTGAGTTCTGGGGGTCCGTCCCAACGGGCTCCTGAACTCAGGCTACTCCTAGGGGGCACGTACGCCTCAGCTGCAGCTGCTGCACCCAGCGCTTGCCTACACCTCACTGCCCTGCTTCCGAGCTACAGGAGAGAGGCAGCTCCCCGAGGTCTGATTTGCAGGATTACTCAGAACCTCACGTCAGGGGGACCCTGCACTGTCCTCGGCCTCTGGCAATCCTTTCTAGAATGCAACTTCCTCGTTTGGGTGGGGGTTTGTGGGGAGGGGAGGGAGGTAACCCTAGCTGATGTTTTTTTCCCCTAATGTTCACTCTGGAAAATAAAGCTCTTGTCAATTAAAGTATAGCTGGCATACAGTGTTACATTAACGTCAGGCATTCACCAGTGATCTGACGCTGACACACCTTACTAGGTACTCCAAGGTAAAAGTTAGTCCCCCACCCCCCAAAATGCCAGTGTGGCCCCTTCACATGGGCCCTGCAAAAAGATTTGGATGAAGCCGACCCTAAGGGACGCCTACCAGCCACCCTCTGGGAGGGGATGATTAAACACAGCCCAGAGGCCAGGGCGGAGACGGGCCCTCCAGGAAACCAGAACATTCCCGGCTATTCCCCACTACGTGGCTTCCAAAGGCTGGCCAGCTCTCCTGTGCATGCAGCAACACTGCCACCTAGTGCCCTGTGTGGGAAGTACCCCCCGACGCCCCGCACCTCGGGGGTCCCTCTCCACCTTGGCTGGCGTCTTTGATGAAGAGAGAATGCCCCTGGTGGGTAGACGGAGAACCGGAACACCAAGCCTAGGTTAGGGCTGTGGAGGCCGAGGTTTGGGGGCTGTTGGGAAAGAGTGTGGGGGCCGAGTCCTGCGGCACCCAGGCCAGCTGCAGTGCAGCAGCAGCAGCAGCAGCAGCAGCAGCAGCAGCAGCATCAAGTGGGCAGCTGACTCCCTTTCAGTCCCAGGAACAGGACCCAGTAGCTGCCATCCTGCCCCCCGGGGGACAGGTGCAGTCACCCCAGGAAGAGAGGAGACCTGCTAACGGGCCAGGAAGAGGGCAAGAGAGGAAAATGGGCCGTACTCTTGAGGGGCATAAATAAGTGCGAATCAGAGACCTCTCTTCCTCAGAGGGGCTGCCTTTGACCTCGGCCCCCACAGGGTCCCCCACCACGGGCCGTGAGGCTCGGGAACTATGCACAGCGTGAGGAGACAGGCATGCCTGAGCCCTCGGGAGTGTGGCTGCTAGAATCCTGAAGAACGAAGGCCTGTTCCTTTCCCCTGTTTTCCCAGACTTTTACCCTCAGTCTTTCCTGAACATTTTCTGATGCGCTCAAGGCTGCAGGGAGACACGGGGTTGGGGGAGAAGCTGGGGAGGAGACAGCCCTCGGTGCCCCCACCCCCGCCCTTCCTGGTGCGGGCTTAAGGGGAAATACCAGTACGCCAGAGGGGCCACTTTGATTTGAGGAGAAAGAAACCCCAGGAGCTAGGCTGTCTGCAACAGATTTCCCGCCTGATTTTACATGCTTGGGGAGGTTAAGAGGGTTCAGATGGGCGCTTTGGAGGAGGGTCTGAGTGTGTGTGCGGTGGCGACGCGGGGGGGCGGCTGGTGGGGACAGGCAGGTGGTCAAGGGAGGGGGTCTGGGGGGTGAGGAGATGTCACCGGGAGCGCCGTGAGTGGCACCCATCATGACTCCGCGAGCCTCCCTCACGGACTCCTGCTGGGTCTTCCCCTCACGCCTCGCAGCCAGGGAACCGCTCCCGGGGGCCCGAGCTGCTACTGCACGGGGAGGGGTGCACGGAGCCATGGCCCCAGGGAGAGACGGCAAGACCGCGAGCACGCAGACCCCCGGGCAGACGGGCACCGGGGGGCCAGCCCCGGCAGCACGGAGATGTCATCTCTGGGAAGAGAGGCGGCACTGCCAACTCTGGTCAGATAACCATCTCGGTACTTCTTCCCCTCGGCCCCAGAAGAAGGACTTCCTTCGCCTCGGTCTCTACCCCCACCTGCGTGACAGCCCAGCCCCTTCTCTCCCCACCCCCCGCTGCCTCCCACCCTCTCTCACCCCAAAATAAAGCACAGCAAAGCCACAAAACACTCCAGTGCTCAGTGTCTGGGAATCCCAGCTTCCAGAGGAGAAATCGCAGCCAAAGAGGGGGAGACAGTGTGTCCAGCAGGGGTGTTCCCGCAACACCCCACTGAAGAGGCTCCCCCCGCCCCAGACTTCTCCCCCTAGTCTGAAGCTCATTTGCAGGCGTCCAGGGACCTGAGACGTTTTTTGTCTGCACGGCCGTCAAGCACTCCCTGGCCACGGACCTCCATTCCCAGCCGGCCCCTGGGGGGCTCCGTGCCGCCCCGGTTTCCCTCTCCACATATTGGGACTGGAAACACCCATGGGCGCTGTGGACCATCCAAACGAACAAGCTTAGAGTGGTTCTATGTGTGCCTAGCCTTGTGCGAGGTTCTGTCACAGGGGTGGGGGGGCAGGAGGGGATGCAAAGGGGCGACACTGAATGATGGAGTGTACATGAGGTGTCAGGTGTCATCCCCACCCTTTGTTTGAAACGAGTGCCCCTCCATAAAACAAGGGAGACGGTTCTTTCGAACCCCACTCTCTCCCGCGACCTGCTGGGTGACTGCCTGGGAAAACTGAGACCCAGGTGCCGTGGAAAACAGGTGTGGGGGACACCCCCAGAGGCTGCCTCTGACAGATACCGTGGCTTTACACAAGGTGCCTTCTCGGGCTCCTCTCCCAATCGCCAGGGCTAGCAACCAGGGTCCTGGCTTGTGAGTGCCCACCCTTTCCGGGGAGCCCCGATGTCCCCAGGCTCACACGTGACTCTGAGGGGACCTCAGGACCTGGACCAGGTAGGAGCTGTCTGCTAAGGTCCAAGACAGGGCACCCGCCCAGACGCGGTGGCCGAGCACCTAGCTGCCTGGCGCCCTGGCTGCCTGGCCCAGCCCAGGCGCGACCCACCGCCCAGGTCCTGGGCTCTCACGGGGCTTTAAAGTTGCCCGGGTCTCTCCTACTGGACTACGAGAAACGGCGTGTGAACCTCGTCCCCAGGGACGAAGGGCCAGAGGTCCTCCCCTTTGGAGAGGAGTGGGAGAGTGGGCTGGACGTCTCCCGAGCGCCAGCACAGTGTGCAGGACCACAGCTCCGGACGAGGGACCGACACTCCGTGGCCGCCCAGTCGTCCCTGCGGCCCTGTGGCAGTGAGGCCGGGAGCCCTGCCGCGCTGGTGCAGCCAGGTTCTCACCCCCTGTCCCCGGCCAGCCGTCCTGGTTGTCCCGCTCCGTCCACCCCTTCCCCTCTGTACCCCCACCGTCTGACCCCATCAGACACGAAGCCAGCCGCGCCCCGAGGAGCACGGGGAGCCCGGGCGGGGGGTATTACCTGCGATGATGGCCGGGTTGCTCTGACCTCCCTCCGGCTTCACCCAGGCTTCCACTGTGAACGCCTCCCGGGGAACCTCAGCCAGCACTTCCGGACGCAGCAGCAGCCGCTCCCGCCTCCCCGAGAAGTACAGCACGGGCAGCCCTCCTCCTCCGCGGGAGTCCGAGGGCCCTGCCTCCCGGTGGGGGCTCCCTCTGCCGCTCTGGACACCGTCCTCCGATGGACGGCCTTGGACCCGGCGCTTCAGGGCACGCGGAGGCCGAGGCTGGAGATGCTGGGGAGAGACACCGGGGTCTCCACGCACGCCCTCTGCCTGCCCCTTCGCCACCTGGCGACGTCGCCTGGTCTTGGCCAGACCCTGCCTTCGGGTCTCCGGCTTGGGTGCCCTCTGGCGTGAGAGCACGGTGGTCGTGGTGGCAGCTGTGGCTGAGCGTCCCCGAGTCCCAGCCTCACCTAGAGACTCCTCAGACCCTTGATCAGCAAGACGAGCGTCATCACCTCCCAGCAGCTCCGACTGCCCCACAGGACCCTCCCCTACCCGCAGGGCGGCCAGCTGCTCAGCCTCACTCCTCATGGCTGCACTCTTGGTCGGGGCTGGGCCAGCCCTGCTCTCAGCCATCTCCTGGGTGGTGGGCATCCTGCGTCCCGTGTGGTGGGCAGCCGGATCCCCCGCGGGATAAGGCCTCAGGGAGCTGCCGGGACGGCTGGGGTAGACCCCAAACAGGTGATGCTGGGGAGAAGCTCTGGGTCTCCGGACCCTGGTCCCCAGCCAGCAGCGCTCTCCTTCCGACGGCACCACACTCAGGCGTCCCCTCTGAGCCAGGGACCGCCTGTGTGGCCAGCCCGGCGTGGAGCTGGCCGTGCCGAGGGCCCCCCCGGCCAGGGTCACCACCAGACTCAGTCCCAGGATCTTGAAGCACATCATGCTTCCCCCGGCTCTTCACACAGAACCAGACTCCAACTTCTGGGTACCACACCGGGATGCTGGGGGCGGGCTGGAGAGGAAGAGCCGGCCAGCCGTGGACGCACAGTCGCTGGGGAAACTGTTCTGTTCACAGACCAAACTTTTTCAGGCGGCCCCAAAAGAGCGCCTCTCCTGGCTACCTGCTCTGGGGGCAGCGCCACGGGCTCTCCACGCCCCACCCGGTGTGCGCCCTCGCCTCGCCCCTCACCTCCCTCCCTGCTCCAGCTCGGTCCTCACAGAGCGCAGTTGCTTTCCCTGGGTTCCTTTGAATCTCCTCCAGAGAGCTCAGGTTTCTCCTCTTTTACCCCCTTTTCAATAGCCCCTCCCCTCGCCGATTCTAGAGGAGGGACATGTGGACACCAGCCAAAGCCTCTCAAACGCACACTCGCTCACAAACACGCAGCCCTCGCGACCTGCAGTCATGAAAAAGACCCTTCTCCTCTCATTTGCACTTCGGTCCTTCCCAGGAGTTGCCTCTTCTCCGCAGTCCTTCACCTACACCACATTCACCTTCAGACAAATGCCCAGGAGGACGGGCATGCAGAGACACAGAGTCTGATGCTACTGGGAAGGGGCAGGCAGCCCCGGGGTGCACAAAGACCCGAGACGGCACTTAACTGTCACCCTGCAGGTGGGTCCTCAGCCCGAGTCCATCCAGCCTCCAGTCGGCCCCGCAGGTCGGCACGCTCCGGCCAGCCCCGGGCTCGGGGCAGTGCGGTGGTGGAGGTTTTGTTCCTGTGTTTAAATCCCCTTCGGACTGGTCAGTGTATGTTGCAGGTCTCCGTCGAGTTCTCCTTCAAGGTGCCGGTCCGCCGTCCTAATAACCGGATGAGGCTGGGAGCCCCGGACTCGACCTTCAGGGAGTCTGGTGGGTCCCTGGGAAGATGGACAAGAGAGTGAGGAGAAGAGCACGCACTTCGGGGGACCTGTTCGCTCTGGTCCCTCCTGCTCCCCGTCTCCTGTCCACTCTGCCTGGAATGGTCTCCTCGGTTGTTTCATTTAAAGACCACGATGATGTCAAAGCTAATAAGTTCAGAGTGTCACTCCGCCCACTCCCCGCCCCTCCTTCCTCCTGCAAACCTGCCCACCTCACCGAGGCACAGGGGACAGAGGCCACTCTCGGTTTCCCAGAGAAACGTCTTGGGCTTTCTCTCTCAGCAGCCGCAGCCTACACAATCGATAGCAAACAATCAATACGGCGTCGGAGCCCTCTTCTCTGTATGTCTCCCCCCTGCACCGTCTCTCTCTCTCTCTCTCACACACACACACACACACACACACACACTCACGTGTGTTGGGAGCAGCCCTGCCTAGTAAATCCACACCAGCCTTCTAGGGACCACTTGCATCTCCTCCTTCTGTTCTGCGCAAACCTCCTCTATTTTTTTTTCTTACGTGAATCACTTGGGATTTAAAACAAAACACCCCACATGCACTGTATACAGGACATGTGGAAAAAAAAGAAGAAAATCAATTATCCTGCTCTAAGGAGATGATTGCTCTCTCTGAAGTTTCTCACTCTGGTTACTCCAAAGCCCCATGTGCTGAGCGAACAAATAAACAAACGAGATGCTCAAAACAAGTAATTCGCAGAAACGAGCAGCCGGCCCCATGCGAGTGTTTTCCAACTAATCTGAAGTGAGTGGCTAGGACCGGGGAGCAGCTAATGGGGTTTTCACCGCTGGAGTAACGCTGCCTAAATGCAGGCTACCTCAAGGAGTCTCGCATGCTGCGCGCGTGCACACACACACACACACACACACACACACACACAGCAGGGTTCTGATTCTCAACACCGGCAAGGGTGTTTGGCCTCAGGAAGGCACAAAATAGGCAGAGAGATATATTGGGCCCTTCATTCAATAAGAAGGAAAATCCTTGCACTTGCAGTTGTAAAATCACGGCTCCTACAGCCCACAGAGTTCGGAGGAAGATCACGGTGCCTCTTCTGCCTTGGGTCTCCTCAGGGTCTTCCAGACTCCTCTGCCCCAGCCAACCACTGACTTCTCCGCTTTAAGGATGCTGTACCCCAAACACCCCGTCAGGGGCGTGCCCTGTTTCCCTGGGCTGCGTCCACTGGAGACCCAGAGCAAGGCCCCCAAGAAGATAGCCATGCAGCCACGTGGATGTCACGAAACAAATCTGTGGAGCCTGGACTGTCCTTACTCCTCTTACCATTTCCACTCTCCCTTCGCTCCCCTGGCTCAGCCCTTCATTTCTTTATATTCTTCCTCAAGAAGCTCAGTAAGGACTGGGGCTTTGGAAGGGGGTAGGGGGAGATGCAGAGGGAGGCATAAAAGCAGGGGGTGGGGGGAGAGGGAGAAAGAGAAAGAAACCAGGGACGAAAGTAAGGAGAGGAACCTTAGTCTAAAATGGAGGGAAGATACTCAGGTAAGAAAAGGAGCAGCAAACTTCCCTCCCTCGTGCCCACTCCCCCCCCCCCCCACAACCCTTGGGAAAAGGTTTCCTACCATTCATTTCAGGAAGGAGGGCTAACACAGCAAGGAAGCGGCAGCCCGTGGGCTTGGCTCCCCCGCTCCTGTGGGAATGATCTTGCAGCCCCTATAGGTCCCTCCTGGCTCTCAGCTGCCAATAATCCATTCATAAGCTTTCAAGAAGCCACACAGCACTCAAGCTTCCAGTTCAGCTTCTCTCTCTCTCCCCTTCATTCCTTTGCTCACCACCCCTCCTTCAGCTCTTGGCAGTCCAAAGTCAAAAAAAAAATGTTGAACCATTTCTGTGTTTTCCTCCTGTTGTAACTTTTGCTGTGACATCATAACCCTGCCCACCGACACCCCACCTCTCGCTCTCCTCTCCATCCCACCCCTCATCGGCCCCCTGGCCTCGAGACGCCCCCCACGGAGAAGCAGGGCTCCCGTCAGTCCCAGTGTGTGAAAACACAAAGCCACTGGAAGGTGCCCCCCTCTCCCTGAGGTCCCCCTCCTCCCTCCCCCCTCCCCGCCTTACCCACCGCTCGGCCACGGCTCTCCGAAGGCTTTTAACAATGACCCCATCTGTGTGACATGTGCGGAAAGGTGGGCTGGGCTCGGTTCCTCTGTCCAGTGGCCCAGATCAAGAACACAGCCATCCCCCCGCCCCAATTCCGTCACACACGCGCACACGCACACACGCACACGCACGCACCAGACCCCGGCGAAAGTGTGAGGGGAGTCGGGCTCACACGGCACCCACTCGGGATGCCAGGGAGAACGGCACCAGACACGCCGAAGGAAACGCACACTCACACGCATCTATCAGTTCTGGGGCTTATTTGTTTACGACGAGCGCCCGCACCCCAGTCCCCTGCCCCTCTCCCCTGAGCCCTGCCACTCCACAAGTGCACAGACTTGAGAGCTGGTAGAATCTGTTTTGAAATCTCCAACAAGAGGGTTTTTCCCCCTTTTTTTCACTCCCAAGCACTATCTGTGGCGATCAGACTGGAGCAGGGCTGCCAGCAAACGCAGGAGGCCCCTTCTAGGGTACAGGCTTTCAGACCAGCGGGACCAGAGGGAATGGATTTAAGGACACACAGCAGGAGCTGGCTGAATTTATTTTATTTTGACGGGGGTAGTTGGGGGAGGAACATCATTTCTGAAATGCCCAAGGAATGAAGGGAGAGGATATGGATTGCTTAAACAGTTTTTGCAAGAGGAGCGGTGTCTTTTTCTGCAGGTAAATCTATAAGGCAAGAAATTGGAGCTTGGAGATAAACAAGGACTGGGAGGGAGAGAGGGAGGGCAGGGGACGGAGGAGAGAGATGGGGAGAGGGGCTAGGGAGGTGGGAACCTGGGGGGAGGAAAGAGGGGAGGGGGCAGAAAGGGGCGAGGGGGGCAAGAGGAGGAAGGGAGGGAGGAAAGGGAAGGAGGAAGGGGGGAAGGAGGGAGGGGGGGAGAGGAGGGGCTGGAGAGGAAAAGAGTGCCATGGAGGGGGGAGGGGAAGGGGACAAAGGGAGAAGAGAGAAGTCTGGGAGGAGAGAGGACTCGGAGGGAAAAGCAGGGAGCAGAGGAGGGAGAAAGAGGCAGGGAGGAAGGGAGAGAGAGCAGGAGGTGGGCAGGCGCGTGGAATATGGAGACCAGGGAGGCAGCTTAGACCCACGGTGCTTCGACGTAAGGAAGCCGCAGAGGCAGGTGAGGAGGGACACGGCCAGACGGGGCGGAGGCTGGGCTTGGTAACCCAGGACCCTCGCTCGAGGGGCTCCCTGCTGCTGAGTGGGCACGGTTTTTAAAAATCTGATTGTCAGGGCTCTGCATTGTCTCTGTAAGTCATCCCCTCTCCCCTCTTCCTTCCCTGCCCATGTCTCCCTCCTCCTACGGCCACCTTCCTCCATCCACCTTTCTGTTCCCAGCAATCTCTTTCCCTAGAGAATTCACAAGGAAAATTTAGACACCCCCCCACCCAAAAAAAAACAACCCTTATTAGCCCTTTCCTTTGCTTCCACCCATGGAGGGTCCTGGGTCCTCTCACCCGAAGCCTGAACTGTGTGTTCACTGCAACCCAGGTCACACTGGGTTTCCTCTAAGCCCGGACACCAGAGCTGTTTTGCTCGTGTTTGCTGCCACAGTAGGGCTGGTCAGTTTCCATGAGCATTGTCACCATTACTATTGAGAGTCTTTGAACAAAGGGAGGAACCAATCCAGTTGGCATCCACCTGCAGGATAGAGCATTCATGGGAGGGAGGCGGGGGGAAAGAAAGGGTGGGGGAAGGAGAGAGACCCCTGAACACGGCCACGGGTCCTCTCTGACTCTCTGATTCCCAACTCTGATCCCTTGAGGGAAAAGCTCAGCTGGGAGGCGGCCAGGGAGCGTAGTAAGGAGAGCCTCCCAGAGCACAACCAAACGCAGCAGCTATATATAGGAGCAGAATCTGTTTCAGCTACTTGCAGTCTGCAGTGACACCCGGAAGCAAACAGCTCAGCAATATGTTTATCGGAGCCGTGTTCAGCTGGAGCTGGAGAGAGCGGGCTTCTCTGCGGGCTCGCGCTCCACGGCTCAGGGCTGCTGCTCTCTGCCCCCCACACTCCCCCACCTTGTCCCCCATCTCCAGCACCCAGAGCTGGGAGTCACTGTCTCTGCCCCTCACGGGGGCCCCTGGAGATTCCTTCAGGGTGACCGGGCACAGCCCACGTTTTCACGGGCGAGGAAACGAGTCAAGTTGCACGAGGAAGAGCCGGGCCACATACGGCCTCCAGGCCCCCTGGATCCCAGCCCTGGTTTCCCCTCCGCTATCTGCACCTGCCCTGCTGTCTGCCGCCCACAGCCCATCGGAGGGGCTGGAGGGCACGACCAGAGACTGGCCTCCCAGGGTCCACATCCGGGCAAAACAGCCCAGCGGGGAGAGCCGGCGGTGCTCTGTAACTCAGAGTCACACGGCACTCACAAGGAAACTCGGCTCCGGGCTGCTCGCCCCTCCTAGCGCATCTGGAGCCAAGAGAGGCCCTTTGGGTTGAGCTGTGTGGAGCTCAGTATGTGAGGCGATCGTGCCCTTTTCCGTAACACCAGTGCTGTTACAGCTCATGACCGATGGTAACGGCGGGGTTTTGCAAAGTGCCTTTCATGCCACGAGACCAAAGTCTTTGCTCCACAGGTTAGGCCTCCCACCCCCTTGGGAGATGCAAGGCGGGGGCGACAGGCCAGGGACGGATCCCCCCCTCCCCCCCGCCCCCGGTGGCAGCCCCTGTTGGGTAAGTGTTTCCTGTAACGTTTCGGGGCTTGGAAGCAGCTCGGGGAGGCCTGGGGCCGGGGGAGAGTTGAGAGCACGGCCGGGCCCTGCCCTGCTCGTGGGAAGGAAAAGGCTCTGCAGGGCTTGGTCTCAGCGAGGATTGCCTCTGTGCCCTGAGTCTCCTCAGCCGGCAGCCTCCCGACAAGAATAACAAGGCACCGAGTGTGCTTGCTCCGCCTCTGACCTAACGCACCTCTCCGGTGCATTCCTTCCTCTTCACCATGAGGACTGGCCTTCTGTGAGTTGCACACCTCAATCAACCCGGGGCGGAGGGCGGGAGGAAAGCAGAGCCAGGGCAGAGCGTGGGGCTTTTGATTCTGAATACAGTGTTCTTCTGCCTGCGTCCTGCAGGATGCCGGAGACCAGAGCAGAGTGTGACACTGCTTGGTCGTGGCGAAGGGCCTCTCTGTGACTGAACTGCCCACTGACCTCTCACCTTGGCCCCAAGGGAGCGCATGGACCCAGACTGTCTGGAGCAGAGCTGGCTTCTGGTCCCGGTTCCCTCGGCTAATGGCCCTAACAAATCAAATAACCAGTCCCCAAGTGCATGCCAGCCGACGGGCAGGCCCCAGCCGTGCAACAGCTGCCTGACCTTGAGTGAGGGGGCGAGCTCTTCCAAGCAACCTGTCCAACGAGGAGACTGCACCCATGCAGTTCTCCAAGCTCCCTTCCCGGCCACACTTGAGGTTCTCTGAGTTTTCAACCCCACACTTTTCTACGATTCTGCTTCCTCAGTGATTACACAAAGCAACAGCCAGTGCCCACTTCCTGTGGACACTGACATCTCCAAGAGACTCCAGTGCCCCTTCCCAACAGATGCCCCTGGACTTTGAGCCCTCGCAGAAAGCCCCGTGTCCACGTGTAAGGCTGCCGTCACACGAGTAGTGAGAATCGGCGGAAGCTCTTGAGCCCCACGATGAGCAGGGAAGATGCCCAGTGTGTTTACCAACTCCAGCAGCAGAACACTCGGTACGAGCACAGAAATGCTCCCATGGAAGTGGCTTTTCACCTCGCTGCTGTGCTAGAATCCCAAAACAGGTAACCCTCCCAGGATAGGGGTAACAATATGAATGGCAACTTGCATTACTTGCAACAAGGCAGGCGCTGTTCCAGTCACTTTACACAGAGCAGTTGATTCAGGCTTTACAACAGTTCTGTGAGGGGGGCACTTCCACGATCCCCATTTTCACATGAGTCATAGTAAGAGCAGCTAGCGTTTACTGAGCACATACTATGTGCTCAACTCAGCAGCTACTAGTCAACGTGAAGCTACTAAACAACGTATATAAACTATCTCATTTAACCCAACAACTAACCTAGGAGACAGCTCCACTCTGAGCCCCATTTTTAGACGGGAAAACTAAGGCACAGAGGGCTCAAGTCACCTATCTGAGCCTAACCGCCTTGAAAAGCACTGCCTGTCTCCAGGGCCCTCGCTGGTGATCTCCACGCCACACCGACTCTTCACAAAGCACGTGAACACACCCTGGCGATCACTGGACCTCCTCACACCACAGCCAGACTCTCCCTGGTGAGGACGTCCCGGTGGGTTCTCTGGAGCAGAAGGAGGTTACGTTCTCTGTTACATCTTTTCCTGAAGTTTCCCCTGGTGGAGGGTCCGAGGCCTTCAAGAAAGGTAGCCCGGCTGCCAGCAGCAGCCAAGGGCGAGCCCCACCTCTGCCGACACTCAGGTGCCTTCCCCAGACCCCCAAAGACGCCTGTTCGCACTGCCCTTGCTAAACTCTAAGAAAACCAGTCCCTTCCCTCACTCACTATCTCCATCTGGGAGAAATCATGCAAGATGGACGAATGTCAAGTTGGCCCTCTCTTATCACTAACACAGACTCTGAACACTAATAACAGCTATTAGTTGATGGTCTGTTAACCATCATAACATGTATACGTTCTGGATTAAGGTCGACTCTGACACGGAGCT